TGCATACATATAATATATACATATATATGCATGTGTGTATATATGTGTATGTATATATATATATGTATATCTCCTGTTGCTTTTGTTTCTCTGGAAAACCTTGAGAACCTTGACTAATAAACCTGGTCTCTCTGTATAGCTCTGGGCTCTGCCTGAGCTCTGGGGATGAATCAGGGTGATGGATAAATACATAAAGCTCACAGGGAGGTTATGCAGCCAGCTCATGTGGCCCTGTTTGGTGCCTGGTTACTGTACTGTTTTGTGTTTCCCGATTGTCAGGATCTGAATTTCTGGTACTGATCTGAGGCCAGATCCAGCTCTTTACACCTTTCCCAGAGGGGATTTTTCTAGACCATTAGGGAATCCAGGGTATCTGACAACAGGGGTAGAAAGGGTCTCTGCCCAGTGGACCTAGAAGGTGGCATTAGGGATAAAAGCAACAGGATACTGGGGGTTGAATTTAGTGGCATCACAGGTAGCATTATACCAATCTGATTTTTCTGAAGTACAGTTTTTACTCTGATTTCATGTCTTGATGTGTGTTTTTTCAACAACAATGAAATGTTGTTTTTGATATTTTTGAGTGTGAGAGGTTAAGAAATTCTTCCCAACTGTGAATGGGATGGGAGTATATGGGGCCTCACATGAAGTCTCTGAGTGCCATTTTATTGAGTCATGAGGGCAAATGTCTAGAACGAGCCCAGGGCCGAATGTGAGTCAGTGAAATAACTCACGATTCTATTTCTACTTTTAACTCAGGGGCTGACCTTGGGCAAGTCATTCAGTTGTTCTTGGCCTCCTCGGTCCTTTTGCTTCTTCAAAGTGGTCTTCCAGCCAGCAGTCGCAGCATCACTTGGAAGCTAGTTAGAAATTTAGACATTTGCACCCTGTCCTGGACCTGCTGAATCAGAATCTTCCTTTTAACAAGATCACCAGGTGATCAAGTTTGACAAGCACTGTTATGGAGGAAAAAGAGCACAGTGTTCTGGGGTCATTTAGAAATGAGAGTTTTCTTGATACGCACATTCCTGTATTTGGATGTGTGGGTGAAACTCCCTGAGACTCAACTTACCTATTTGAAAACAAGGGGTAAAAATAGCTGCCTGCAACCTGATGGACTTTTCATGGCGATGAAATTAAAATCTCACATGCATGTATTGAGTGACTTGCATGTGTCTGGCCCCGTGTAAACACTGTAGGGTACAGAGATGACTGGGACCTGGTAGTGCTCATGCCCAGGAATTCGGCCTCTAGTGCGATGAGAAAATATGTGTGACAGCACTATATAAATGCAAAGGGCTACCTCAATGTTAGCTATTCTAAGTATTAATGGGGATAATAATACTTGCCCTACTTATGCTGAATGGCTATCATTAAGCTCAAGTGAGATAAAGCATGTCAAAGTCGTCCGAAAAGTTGAAAAGTATTGACGTAAGAAGTTATTATTAGTATTATTATCGCCATCACTGAGTGAATGATCATTAATTTTAGTAGGCAAAAACCTAGAGTCATTTACATTTACACAGGCAGCAGAGGATGCTGGAGTTTAAATACCAGACTCAGAACTCTTGAGCTGAATGCACAGGGAGATTCTCGCTTGCTTTTGGTTCTGCAGGGGAACTACATGGACAATTAAGAGTCTGTTAATACTTGTGCTGTTTCAGAATATCTGATCCTAGAAGCAGGGATTTATTTGCAGTTTATTGGCGACCCACTGAAATGCATCCATCTGTGAGGTGGAATGTTCTATCTGATGGGCAGCCTGACAATAGCACTACCCTGCCGATTAGGATGTGGTCAGGTGGAATAAACACAGGTGGCTTATGCTGTGTGAGGTCCTCTCCCTGGGTGTCTGTTCAGGGGCGGCCTTGCTCTGCGCATGACTATCCACAGAGTCCATGGCGTCATGCTGAAACCCTAGAAACTCAGGGCAGGCAAAGGAACAGGGAAATCAACCTAGTCTAATTCTCAAATTTGCAGACAATGTGGCCTAGTGTTTCAAAGGGCTGTCTGTGGCTGGCTCCAGATCACACTTGAAGATGATGGAAAAGTTGCAACTTGAAAGCTTAGTTCTCCTGGCTCCCGGTACAGTGCCTTCTCCTTAAAGCTCCATGCATTAAGGATGCTTTTTTGCTTTCAGTCATGTACCAGCAGGGAGACAGTGCTCACTGCAGTTTTGATCTGTCCCTCAAGCGTCTGCCCTTTGCTTTGTTCTTTACAGCGCAGATGTAGTCTGAGCGCTGCCTCCTCACTTCCTCACTGTGGCTCTTCTCTCCTGACACTGCCTGTGATATGGTCAGTGCAGATTTTAATGAGGCAGCAGCAAAAGGGCAAGATTAACATTTCCGTCCCTGACAGTCCTCATGCTTGTGGCTTATTCTTTTATTACATGTTTATCTTAGTCTGCCCTGAATTTGAGTTAACATATATGTGTTTACTCTTCTCTCTAGATTATAAGGCTCTGGAGCTCTGGAGGCGGCAGCTCCAGGGTGGAAATCCAGCTTTGTCACTGCATAGATCATTCTGTGATCTTGGGCAGTTCACATCATCATTTTGAACTTCTGTTTTTAACATGTAAATTGAGATAGGCTCATATCTACTCTATAGGTGGCGAAAACTAAAGAATACACATGACACCACTGATCCACTGTAGTTACCGCTAATGCCATCTCTGCTTCTCTCAGGTATGGCATCAATAGTAACCTTCCTTACTTCTCCATGCATGGATCCAAATGGACTCTCAAGACAAAAATGGCCTGAGCCTCTCAGTGGACTCTCAGACATTTTTCCCAAGAAAGGAGCTTTAGATCACTCATGAGGTCACTTATTCTGACTACTGGTCTTTTTCAGGAAGATTGGGTCACAGACTGCTAACTCCCATTTTTTTCAGCCTTTGGTTTTGCTTTTTAGCTCTGAAGTCTCTCATTCTCTTATTTCCAAGATCATTCCCATTTTGTTTTGATCCTTTCAGGAGATAAAAGTTGCTTGCTTCCCTATGTGTGAATTCATATGTACTGGATTGAGAACAGGTGGATGCCACCATGCCTGGGACTCTTATCTGTGCCTTGGCTCCTCATTTGTGGCAAATTTACTGTCTTAACTTCTTCCTCTTTGGAGGCTTGCAGCCGGAAGTGACCTCTTCCTCCTCTGACACTGTGATGTCAAGGCCAGCCCAGCCTTGGACTGCTCCAGGCCCCAGAAGCACTTTACCTGCAGCAGAAACAATACAGAGTTGCCTGATTCCTGTTTCTTGAACTTGATGCTCCTCTTTTAATTAAAAGATGTTTCCCTCTCACAGCATGTATTGGAATTCCTCCGAGAGAGTGTCTCAGCTCCTTCCCTAGAAAAATGTCTCATTAGTGTATTCAGTGTAGAAATTGAGCCTCTGGTACTTGGTGCTAAGGTCTGAAGAAGAAAGATTTCTTCACATAAGAGAGGAAAGAGTATTTGGAGCTGGGGAATTGGGGTATTCAGGAGGAAGGTGGTGAGGCCTGAGGAGAGAAGGACCCAGCAGACAGGGGTGAACATGATGACAGCATGCCCACTCTTGATGTTCTGACCTCTACCCTGGTCCTTAAGTAATCTGAAAAGATGGGCGTCTTGGGCTTTGCTGTAGATGTGGAAGAAAGGCTGATTCTGCCTCATGAGTGGGTGGGAAGGCAGATCTGGAGACTGAACATCTCTGTGATTTCACAGAACCTTGAAGGAGGAGCATGAATGGGAAACAAATTTTGAACTTCCCCAGACCTTGGAAATGGAGGTCTGATGCAATATGTGAGGGGCGCAGCAATTCAAGGAAGTTAAGTCAAGAATGCAAGGAGCAGAAGGCCCCCAGCTGACCTCTGGGTTATAGTCACATTGAGCCTGGCACAAAGTCAGGCATTGAAAATGATATCCTGCCAGGTTTGTTTTTTTTTTTTTTTTTTTTGGTTGTTTCCTTAGAAAAAAATATGGCAAACTTTCAAGGGGAAACTGTTGATACCAGAAGGCCAGTTTGGGTCATCTCATCCAAAAATCTGTGCAAACTCCCACAATGCCCAGGCACTAAGCTGGCTTTACAGTCTGAGGCCACCACTGTTCTCCTCACTGCCTTCTCTTTGGACAGATACAGGTAGCAGCAACCACAGGATACCAGGCATTTGGGGAATCTTAATCCTGCTATGTTGTAAAATACTATTACTTGCTGTGAACACCACCACCACCTCTTCCACTGAGCGTCATGGAGCCAGGCTGGCAGTCGATCTTGTGAACTTGAAAAGCGGTCACTGGTACACAGAGGCCATGCTCAGTGGCCTTATCAGCACGTCAGGAAGGGGAGATAACCAACCAAACCCATGTGATGTTTCAAGCATGAACAGATGAAGGTTTCTGCGAAATTTCCCAAATTATTCCTTTCAAACAGCACCTCCTCAGTCTTCCCCATGTTTGCTGTGAGACAGCAGCCGTGTTGCTGTCAGCAGTTGCTGCAGGGATGCAAAATTGTAAGAGGTAGATCAATATTTTTTATTCATTATGACTTACCCACAGCTGTTCACATATTTGGTTTCTTTGAACATTCTTTCCACTGAACTTAACCAGGGAGGGGTTTCTTAAATCATAATATGACATGCAGAAAAATTAACAGTAAAAGTTTTAAATTTAAAAGTGACCTTAAATAGTTCTTAGGTTAACAGAGAAATCAAAACTGCAGTAACAGACTGATTAGAAAATAACCAACAATGAGAATACACACATCAAACTTATGCCAGTGTTGTTCTTGAGAAATGTCACTGCTCTGAATGTTTTCAGAAATAAACAATAAAAATGAAAGAGAATTAAACTGATGAGAAATGCAAGCAGCCAGAAGAAAAAAAAAACTGAAGAAAGCAAGAAGAAATTTTTGAAGGTGGATATAAAATTAGAATGCCTACAGGTAATATAATGCATTAATAAATTCAATAAGTATTTGTTTTATTTTATTATTTTTTTGAGACAGAATCTTACTTTCTCACCCAGGCTGGAGTACAGAGGTACAATCTCAGCTCACTGTGCCCTTCATCTCTGGGGTTCAAGCGATTCTCCGACCTCAGCCTCCTGAGTAGCTGGGACTACAGGCGGCTGCCACCACACTTGGCTAAATGTTTGTATTTTTAGTAGAGTTGGGGTCTCATTATGTTGGCCGAGCTGGTCTCAAACTCCTGACCTCAAATGATCCACCTGCCTTGGTCTCCCAAAGTCAGTAAGTATTTATTTTTAATATAATAAGATAAACTAAACTCTGGCAAATATTAATCACCAATATAGTGAAAATACAAAGATTTAATATTGGAAGCAAGAAAGAGAATGTACCTTACAGAAAGAGGTGATTTAAGGAGCAAAACAGTATTACAGGCAACTGTATGCCAGTGATACTAATAACACTATGTAAATAAATAATTTTCTTTTTTTTTGTTTTTTGAGACAGAGTCTCAGTGTGTTGTCCAGGCTGGAGTGCAGTGCTATGATCTGGACTCACTGCAACTTCTGCCTCTGGGTTCAAGTGATTCTCCTGCCTTATCCTCCCAGGTAGCTGGAATTACAGGCCTGTGTCACCACACCCGGCTAATTTTTGTATTTTTTAGTAGAGATGGTGTTTCACCGTATTAACCAGGTGGTCTTGAACTCCGACCTCAAGTGATCTGCCCACCTCATCCTCTCAAAGTGCTGAGATTACAGGTATGAGCCACCGCTCCTGGCCATAATTTTTTTAATGCATATAAATCACCAATTTTACTGAAGAAGTACAAAACGGAAACAGAAGAGTAGCCATGAAAAAAATTGAAAAAAAGAGTTTAGAGAATTACTTTAAAAAAAAAGGTCCTGGTATATGTGGTTTTACTTTTATCTTCTTTTAAACTTTTAAAGAAACCTACCAATCATAAAAGAAAAATCAACAGATTTGGGGTTACACAAAAACTTTAAAAAAATATTATGGTACCAGGTATCAAAAACTTTTGAAAGAAAATGGTAAATGGAGAGAGAAAATAAGCACAAATATATATATATAATATGTGTGTGTATATATATATATATATGTGTATATATATATATATGGCTAATATTTCTTGCATGTCAATAACTCAGAGATTAACAAGAAAAATTGTCAAAATAGGTAGAATTTATTGTATTTATAGCATAAACAAAATTTTATACTTAAAAAAAATGTTTAATTTCAGTGGTACATATGCAGAGTTTGTTACATACGTAAACTCATGTCATGGGGGTTTGTTGTGCAAATTATTTTCTCACCCAGGTATTAGGCCTAGTTCCCATTAGTCATTGCTCCTGATCTTCTCCCTGCTCCCACCCTCCACCCTCCAGTAGGTCCTAGGGTGGACGGTGGGAGGAGGGAGAGGATCAGGAAATAACTTTTGAAGTAATTCTCTAAACTCTTCTTTTTTTTCAGTTTTTTCATGGCTACTCTTCTGTTTTGGGTTTGTACTTCTTTAGTCAAGTTGGTGATTTATATGCATGAGAAAATTATGGCCCAGCGTGGTGGCTCAGGCCTGTAACCCAGCACTATGAGAGGATGAGGTGGTGTTTAAGTTGACAGGCATTTTAGTTGATTCTGTGTCTTTGCATACGTGCATAGGTCCTTATAATAGCACAATTTATATTCCTTTGGGTATATACCCAGTAATGGGATTGCTGGCTCAAATGATATTTCTGTTTTTATGTCTTTGATGAACTGCCACACTACTTTCCACAATGGTTGAACTAATTTACACTCCCACCAACAGCATATAAGCATTCCGTTTCTCTGCAACCTCACCAGCACCTGTTATTTTTTGACTTTTTAGTAATAGCCATTCTGACTGGTGTATCCCATCAATTATATTGTCTTATAATACTAAGCCTTCTAGAAGCAACTGGCATGTTCAGTATAGGGGATGATTATACAGATTATAAAAGTAATAATTTTTCAAGCCCAAATCTTTTCTATTTTCACACATACTCCATATCCAATTCATCTATAAATTTTCTTTGCTGTTCCTTAAAAATGATTTCAAATCCAAACATACTTCTTCACTTACTCAGCTGCTCCCTGGTCCAAACCCCAGCCCTCTCTGGCCTAACACTGAAGCATTTTCCACCTGTTTCCGATGCTTTCACGCTGCTCCTCCTCTTGTCTCTTATGCGCACAGGTGCCAGACTGGAAATTTAAAATGCAAAATAGCTGCCACCGTCTTCCTCAAAACTCTCTAGTATCCGTCTTCGTATTATACTTAACATGACACCTGCAGTTCTGACCAAGTCTTACAGGATGTTACCTGATCTGGGACTTGGCCATTGCTCCAACCTCATTTCCTACTGCTCTCCCCTTTCTGGCTTCTCTACCAACACTGGCTTCTTCTTGTTCTTTGAACATGTGCAAGAACCTTTTAACTTGATGCTCCCTCTATTTCCTACACTGTCCCCTAAGGCTGTTGACATAACTCTCTTCTTCACTTCCCTTGCCTCTTAGTTCAATTTTGTCCTTCTCACACCATTCTGTTCAAAATAGCAACTCCCCTCTGATCCTCATTACATTAGTGATACATTCTGAGAAACACAAGTCCAAAACTCAATAAAGCGTTGAAAATAGTTTAAATCATTGGTCCCAAAGCTGGGTTGCAGTGGTATTTCTATACCAGTTGGAGCACTTTATGCAGATTGTCTCACTTAATTGTCACCACAACTCTTTTGATTGGTGTTTCTTATTTTGAGATCATGAACCTGAAGATGAGAGATGGTTTCCTACAGTGTAAGTGGAGGAGCCAGGACTTGAACTTTGGTAATGGGGGTCAGCACCAACAGGCTACACTGCCTCCCAGGGCACTGGGCATATCTTTGCTGCTCGCCCTTCAACTGTGTCACAGGGGGAAGCTGTCTTTAATTTCATGTTTTGCTCTCTCAAAATTTCCCCAATTTTTTTTTTCCCTAAAACTCAGCCTACACTGATAAATTGCTGTCCTGTGCTCAACTCCCTTCGTCCCAGACCTGCACTTTAAAGCAATCTGGAGTCCCGGACTTCTCCAACTCTATATTTTTGGCCACTTTGTCCGTCATCATTTGCATAAAGAAGTGCAAAAGACAGCCCGGGGGCATGCCACACCCTCCTACAAAGGGGCGGGAGGAGAGACAGTTCTCATCACACGTTTTGAGTTTTTAGGATATGCCTCTGCAATACTTCAGTACTGAGCACACACTTCCTGAACTACTCCAGGTGGAAATGACTTCACCTTCCCCTGAACTTCTATAGACTGTGTTTCTGTTTCCACTGATTTGACACTAGTATTTAACCATATAAAGAAAATGGTAGGTGTGTTGCCTTTAGCAAGTTATTCACCACTTTGTATCTTAGTTTCTTCCTCTGTAAAATGGAGAAACTATGTCTACACTTCCAGGTCATTGAAGTGATTTAATAACATAAGATACATATTAATACTTGGCATATAGTTGACACTCATTAGTCATGAATTGATCTTGAATCTGATGCTGAAGGCAGAATATGTATCTTTCCTCATATTGATGAGGAAAGCTGCAATGTTGAGTAATTGTATTAGTCCTGAGGAAGTAACTGGAAAAGAAGTCTAAATTTCACTGCCAAATAAGTGATTGGATCAAGATTATATGGCATATTAAAAAAATAAAAAACAAGCAAACAAACAAAATAAATGTAGGCATGCTGAGAACCCTCGTAGGTGTGATTTTTAGGTCAGACATTTGTAAATATAGTCTTCTGTGGACACCTTTGAGCACTGAATGACAGATGCATAGAGTGATGGATAAGGAAATGGACCAGACAGGAGATCTGGGTCCTGAGTATTCCCACCTAGAAATGTGACCCAATTTAAGGCACACACTTTCCTTAGGCTCAGTTGGTTTTCTCGTTTGTTTGCTTTTATTTCTTTATCCTTTAAATGGTAAATAATAAAAACCCAGTAATCAAACAATAGGGATTTCTGCTTGCTTCATAGAGTGTCTGTGTCAAGAAAGATAACCTACATTAAGGTATTTTGTGCATTAAACATGTAACAGAATAATTTTACTGTCTCCCTTTCAACTGAAAAAAATGCAGCTATAAGTATTTCCCTCAGTGTTGTGTTGCCAGACATTCTGCAGATATTGAACAGCTTCTACTCTTTTTAGGGACATGCTACTCTAGGATACCTGCATCAGGGTCAGGATTGGGAGGGGCATGATCAACAACTGAACCTTGAACTATGGCTGACTTCCAGAGGCCATTGCTTTGCCCTTGATAGGATAGTGACTCAACCTCCAGGGCTGAGTGATGCCTGTTGGCCATGGATGTTCTCTATTTTCCTCTTTATATACATCTATACATTTTTTTCTGCCTCTATATCTCTGTCTTTATCTGTATATGTATATGTGTATACATACATACACCTGTATCTGTCTATACTTATACCCATAACTCTATTTTTTCTTAATCACTACAGTTCTTAATCTAAATTCTTCTTTTTGCTGCAAAGCTAGTTTTATGCATTATCATAAATTTATTCATTGTCATAAAATACAAATGCTCCAGAATGGTTGGTTACCACACAAATTAAGACATATTCATCTCTGTATTATATATATCTCTATCCATCTGTCTGTCTTTCCATCTATCAATTCAAACTCTTGTTCAGCCCATCCGTTCAATCCTACCTGCTAGAGTTTATCTTTTTTTCTTTATCTTTTGCCTTTCTTTGGGCCCAACCTGGAATAGAAACTATGGCTTCCATCCAAGAAAGCATCATTCAAATTGTTCTCAGCCACATGGCGGTCTAAATTTGGAATCCACAAGGTTTCGAGAATGTCTTTCAACCTTGGGGTGATTATCTGAACTCAATCCAAACCTTCATGCTTGAAGACTCTGCTGTTGTTAATTATGGCTCCTGTTCACCACTGGTCAGTCACCTGGCTGTTTTCATTTTGCCCGGGAAATGACCTTGTACAAATTCTCTGGATTGTTTGAAATCAGCTGCATGGCAGAGGCTGGTTGATGATGGGTGAACCAAAGAAGGTTGATAGCTTTCAGCTTGGCCTACCCTGGACGAGGGCCTGAGGCTCCCAGCTTTGAATAAACTCAAATGCAATTCACCTGAAGAGCAGCTTTCTCTAACAGTTGTTTGTGTTATATACTTAGCCACAAAAGCCTCATGAGAATGCTGGGCCAGAGAGCACAGTGATGGGTGTGATTGGGGGCCAAGTGGGGATAGGGGAGCTGATTACAGGATACGCCCACTTCCCCCACCATGCACGTAGCTTTGGTTTGGTGGTTTGATTTTAGCATACCTTAAACTAATTTAGTCTTATTCATACTCAATTCTAGTTGGGCACTTGAGAAAGGACTTTTATTTCATCCTTGGCTTAAAAAATAAAGGCAATATATTCTTTTTAAAGAGAAAACACCAAACAGGTTTTGCAAGGGCTGGATTTTCAGTTCTGGAGTTTCCCACACTATGGCCTAAAGGCTTGGCAAGGGCAACCCAGAGCTGGTTAGGGTGAAACAGATGAAAAGAATATCTTATGCTTGTGCAGAGCTTTATACTTTAAAATGTCTTTTCAACCATTACTGATTGCAAACTTAATCTTTGCCAGGCAGTGTGCTGGGGAAACAAAGTGAGGTCTTTGCTCTCCAAGAGTTCACGGGTTAGTAGAGGGAGATCAACACTGATGTAAGCAGATGAAACAAGCCACTTTCATGCCACCATGCCACGAGACAGGAAGGAGGAGCCAATTCTGTTGTGCAAAAGGTAAGGCAGTGAGAAGAGCAGGACAAAAGTATTACAGAATATTCAAACTTAAAGGGACCTTCGATTGTATTTAATCCACAGTCATTCTAAAGATGAAAGTACTTCATCCCAGATGTGAAGTGACTTACCTAATGTCAAACAGCTAGATTAGCAGTGCAGTGGATCTAGGATGCTGGATGTGTAGTTCTCAGGCTCAGAGTTCTTTTTTCCCACCCTGCATGGCAGTGTCTCACATTCTCAGCAAGGGACCTGAGCGCTTCAGTGGGGTACCACACTGTGCTGGTGAAGACCCCACGAACTTCTCTGTCTTGTTTGCAGCGCTACTTCAAGGCCAACCGAGCCTCAGCCTGTGTCCTCTCTGCATTTCTCACTGTCTTTCATTTTGAGTATTTTGATGTTCAGGGCCTCTCCGGGAATCACATGTACTCTTGCATTCTAAGGAGTTAATGATTTCCTTCTGGAATCTCTTCCAGAGTGTAGCACTTAGTATAAGGTCTCAAGAAAAGCAACTAATAGGAGACTTTTAGACACTTAGTAGAGATATATTTGGGAGATAAGAGCCTTCCTACATCTACTCAGTCTCTCTGCACTGAAGACCATTCAGTAGGTCTAGTTTTAGAAGTGAAATTGTCAGGGAGAACCTCTGCCTTATCATCAGAACCAATCCTTATCTCATGGAAATGCATTGGGAAGCCACTCTATGGCTCACAGGTGAACTAGATAGAGGGGTAACTGGCATTTTACAGAAGGAGACCGAGAGAAGTGATGTGAAAGTTAAGGTCACACAGCTGGCAGAGGACCTCCAGTGCTCATGCTGCCTGATGGAGATTTAATTGGTATCCCTCTTACCAGGCTCTGGTCGAGTCCAGACACTCACAGCTGCTGTGGAAATGTGAGATCTGAGAGCCAGGTTTGGAGGCTGAAGGCTTTTCTGTGCAATCATGGAAATCCATTACCCTCTGTGCTCTTGGGAATGCCTGCACTTCTTTCTTGCATTTGTCTGAAAAAGAACAAGCAAACAAAAGTAAGTATTGCTTTCCCTTGTGTTTGACAAGCACTTTATGTGGTGGGCCTCTTTTGTTACTTAATTCCTAGCTGATTTTTGGCTCTCTGTGCAGAATATTGGTTCTTGGGACAGCTGTGTGTGTGTGTATTTGCATTTTGATCTCTGTGTATCAACATACTAAAATAATGAACTCCCAAAGTTTGTTTCAGGCATCTGAGTATGGTAAAATTTGGCTTCTGGAAGGTCTAGGTCCTGGAGTTTTCTAGGCTAAAAGTTTTCAAGTTGTTTAAAGTCACAGAATCTTTGTGTAACAAAGAATCTCATAATTGTGCCTAAGAATTTATGTGTTTGTATACACACACATACATAGCTTTAAAATATATCTATTACTCCTTGCCATGGGTATATTGCAACTGGCCCTAATATGTTGTCCTGTAAATAATGCTAGAAAGGAATCAGGGGTGATGAGTGAGTACAGGAAGGGAGGAGAGGAGGGAGAAGCATATCATAATTTGTTAAGATAGAATATTGACAAATCATTTTTTTCTAAATAAAAATATTGCATCTGACATATATGTGGAAAAACGTATACACATTTGCACAAATATAAAATAGGGAATAAAGCAGAATTTACATCAGTTTATAGTAGAGAGCCATGGAAAGGTTGTGGGTCTGTGATAACGGTGCTGCCCAGGAGGAAGTGCGGCGTGCTGCATGAGAGAGTTAAGGGAGCTAAGGTTACAAGCCAGCTGCTCTCACTTAGCAGCTCTGTCAGCTTGGGAATATTACTTTCTATGGGCTTCAGCTACCTATTCTGTAAAATCAGGGGAAATTATGTTTCTTCAGAGAATAATGAGAAACAAAATCTTAAATTGCTTGGCGCATGACCAGCATTCCATAAAATGTCAGCTCCCTTCATAATCCTAGCGTTTTTAGTGTTTATGGCGGTAACATAATACTTGCACATTGTTATGGACTGAATATGTCCCCCCAAAATTGGTATGCTGATACCCTGTTTGGTGGTGGGGGCTTGGGAGGTGATTAAGTTTAGATGAGGTCATGAGGGTGGGGCCCTCATGTTGGGATTAGTGGCCTTATAAGAAAAGACACCAGAGAGTTTGCTTCCTTTTACTCTGTCTCCTCTGAATAAGAACACAGTGAGAAGGCAACCTTTTGCAAGCCAGGAAGATAGCCCTTATCTGGAACCAAATTGGTCAGCATGTTGATCTTGGACTTCCTAGCCCGCAAATAAATGTCTGTTGTTTAAGCCACCCACTTTGTGGCATTTTGTTATAGCAACCTGGCTGGCTAACACACACTTGATGGTATCTTATTTGTGTAATTCCTAATCCTAGGAAAAGGTAGTTATAGCTTGATTCCTGTTTTAAGGGTGGCAAACTAGAAGTCTTGGGGAAGTTGTGAAGTCCAACATCACAAGAAAGGGCCAGCATCAGGATTAGAGTTTGCGCTTCCAGTGCCTACCTCAGCGTTATTGAGTGAAACCATACTTCCTCTCTCTATAATAATTAGGGCTGTAATGTCAGAAATGGGGATGGTGTGGGGTTCTATCTTCATTGTTTTTAATTTGGTTTCTCATTTGGGTGACAGCAGACCTTCTTAACCGGGAGCAGCTTTGCCATTGCCCCTCCGCCGCCAGGAATATTTGGTATATTTGGAAACAGTTTTGATTATCTCTATTTTGATTGGGGTAGAGAGTTCTACTAGCATTTAGTGATTAGAGACCAGTGATGCTGCTAACCACCCTACAATGCATAGGGTAACTTCAATGGTGGAGAAAGCCCGGGTTATGGTCATACAATGGAATGTATTCTCTACCTGGAGATGGCCGTACTTGTACTGTTTGCCTTTTGCGGCGACTGCGGGATTTGGGGATGGACATCTTGCTGCAAAGTATAATATAAAGCTAGAGGAGGAAATACAACCAGCTGAGAAACAATAGTCCCTGAATACTTTTAAAAAAATATTATGGCATTGACAAAATCATATTAAAATAACGGGAGGTATCCAAGATAAAAATATTTCTCAATCTCATCACCTAGTTAATTCATCGTCATACATATTTAAAATGTGAGAAATTCATAACACCATTCCAATTCTAAGTTAATTAGTAAATTCAGCTGATTCTCATGGTTGTAAAATTGTATAGAATCGACCAAATATATTCTAGAGCCTTCTTCATGAGTCTGTTATTGAAGAAATGAACTGGAGGCTGGGCGCAGTGGCTCGTGCCTGTTATTTCAGCACTTTGGGAGGCTGAGGTGGGCGGTTCACTTGCGATCAAGAGTTTGAGACCAGCCTGGCTGACATGGTGAAATGCTGTGTCTACTAAAAATACAAAAATTAGCCAGGTGTGGTGTCGCACGCCTGTGATCCCTGTGAGGCGGAGGCAGGAGAATCACTTGAATCCAGGAGGTGGAGATTATGGTGAGCCAAGATCATGCCACTGCACTCCAGCCTGGGTGACAGAATAAGACTCCATCTCAAAAAAAGAAAAAAAATTTTAAAAAAATGAAGTGGAACTTTGATTAGCTGAATCTTGGGCTCATTTGAACCCCTATAATCTTATTTAACAAAATACATAAATGGCAAGAAAAAGAAATTTATGTGAAGGATTTGTGAAAAAATTTCTAGGGCATCTGCAGAGGTCAGTATGGATTTCAAATTCCCCCACCCGCTGAAGGCCCTGGAGCAATCTGGTTTATGATGTAAATGATCCCAGGTGCTTGTGGTGTCTCACTTGTGCTGGACAGACTTAGCCTGACTTTGCCAAGGCAGGAAAGTAAACCCAGAAAAAAATTGCATCAGCATAAAAGATTGGGAGTGAGGAGAAATTTTTAGGGGGGTTTGGATTAATTACCTGAAAAGCTTAGTACTCCAGGGTATTCTAACCAATGGAGTTTTATTGCAAAACACCCTGTGTATGCGGAAGAGCGAGTAGGAGGCTACACGAGGCTGCATATTCCAGTACAGAATGCGGTTAGAGGTGACAGTCTACTGCAGGAAGCTCAAAGAATCCATGCTCAGCCAAACCTCCTGGGAGTATTAAGCTGGGGGAATCTTAGATTATGACAACTTTGATGATTCTGTCCCCAAAGCATACTGAGATTGTGGCAGAGGAATTCTTCCCTTTGAACATGAGATATAGGACAATCATGGAATGCTTGTGCAGTCGCTTGACAAACCTCTTCTTGAAAAAGCAAATTATTTTTGATTTAGAAGTAGTGGCTCACACCTGTAATCCTAGCACTTTGGGAGGCTGGGCTGATTGCCTGAGCTCAGGAGTTCGAAACCAACGTGTGCAAGATAGTGAAACCCTGTCTCTACTAAATTAGCTGGACATGCTGGCATGTGTCTGTACTCCCAGCTAGTTGGGAGGCTGAGGCAGAACTGCTTGAACCCAGGAGGTGGAGGTTGCAGTGAGCTGAGATTGCGCTAGTGCATTCCAGCCTGGGCAACAGAGTGAGATGCTATCTCCAAAAAAAAGAAGAAAAAAGAAAAAAAGAAAAAGTTAGAAATGCACAGAAAAAAATTTAAAAAACCAGCATACCATGTGTAATTAACAGTATGACGTACACCTCGCACCCCTCACCTGCATTTTCCAATGACATCATCTGGCCTCACAACTTCCATCCCACTGTGCACGTATAAACACACTGCCTTGGTGCCAAACCGTTCATAAATAGGCTGCAAACATCATGGCAATTCCCTCCTAAAAGTTTCCGCAACTCCCGGGGAAGAGAGAATTTCTTATACACTACCACGCCCTTAACAAATCTGAGGAAATTAATAATTTCATATCCTCACCCAACAGTCTATAAAGTCAAATCTTCCCAATTGTCCCAACAGTGTTCTCTGTGCTCTGTAGATACTGCATTGCCTATATGTCTCTTTAGTTTGCTCCCATCTAGACCAATCCACAGGTCTTTCTCTGTTCTTCATGACAGTGAAGCTTTTGAAGAGTGAGACTCATCTGAAAGTTTCCTCATAATTAAATTCGGGTTAAAAAATTGTGGCAAGAACACACACAAGGAATGTGTGTACTCATGTATCACACAAAAGGGCCTACAGTATCAGCGGTCCCACTATTCGTGATGGCGAGCTTGACTATTTGGTTAAGGTGGTGGCCCCCAGATCTCTCTGTTGAGAAGCACATCCTCTCCCCCTCCCTTTCCCCCTCCCCAACCCTCCCTGGAATTTAATAATCAGTGAGGTAATACTTTAAGATTCTATTTTTTTAAACATACATTGATAATTTTTGCCTTAACTATTATACTGGAGGGTTTTCTAATATTACGAATCCTTTTACCTTTACTAGTTGATATTTTTTTTGTAAAAAGATATTTTCATTTTGTTCTTATTTCTCCTCCTCCCCTTTTCTCTTCTTCCTCTTGTTCTTATCCTCTGCCTCTTCTTCCTTCTTTTTTCCTCTCTTGCTTTTATTCCTTCTCTTTCTTTTTCTCCTTTATCTTCATCATCTCTCTTTCTCTGTTTTTCAAGTATCAGTATTATCATAATATCTGCATTTCTTCAGCGTTGTATTTTATTATTACTGTTATTCCTTATGATCTGCGATCATCCCAGACTTAGGCAATGAGAGCCTCTTCAAGACACTCCTGTCTTTTGACCTGTGTCCATCAGTCCTGGATTCTTGCTTGATTCTGGCTTACGATGTGTCAGGCTTTTCACTGCCCAGGCTGGAGTCAGCATTTCTGATGGAATAGTGGTTCCTGTTGGTAGGGAGTGGTATTTAAAAATACACACATGCAATTGATACTTATACATCCTATTCATGTAGAAAACCACAGAATTCCCCCCCCCCCCAGCTTCTCTCACTCCATATCTGTATCTCCCTCTTGCAAAGGGAAACCCTGGCTCCCTACAATATTAATTTACTTACACATTCACACTTTATTGTACCACAAACAAAGTAGTTTCAAAATCACAGCATGAACACCACTAGGAACAGCAAACCTAACTGTAAAATTCACAATTTGGTTGCAATTCATCTTCTCAGACTACATTAATCCCGTGTTATCTGAAGTTTCACTTTTCAGTGTTTTAGTTATCTGCGGTCAACCTCTGTCCAAAAATATTGAATGGAAAATTTTAGAAACAATTCATACATTTTACATTGCACACCCTACTGCAGAGCATGATGAAATCTTGTGCTGTCCTGTATCTTCCCGCTCTGTCCTGCTGGGATGTGAATCATCCCTTTGTCCAGCTCCTCCATGCTGTGGATGTTCCCTGCCTGTTAGTCCCTTTAGGGCCATCTTGGTCATCAGAATCACTGTTGTGGCATCACCCTGCTTGTGTTCAGTCACCCTTATTTTACTTAATAATGCTCCCAGTCCCCAAGAGGAGTGATGTTGGCAATTTGGATGTGCCAAAAAGAAGCCATAGGATACTTCCTTTAAGTGAAAATGTGCAAGTTCTTGACTTAAGGAAAGAAAAGAAAGCAGATGCTGGTTTTTTCCCCCAGGATCTATGGTAAGAGTGAATCTGTGGAATTGTAAAAAAGGAAAAAGAAATTCATGCTAGTTGTGCTGTCACACCTCAAACTTTATCATAGGTGTGTATATATGTATAGAAAGAAACAGAATATATATAGGGTTCAGGACATCCACGGTTTTGGGTGTCCACTGGGGACCTTGGAACATAGTCCCCATGGATAAAGGAGACTACTGCATATCCCATTGTATTCAAGTTACTTGAAATGATTATTTTCCCTGTTTGCATATGTTTTAAACTTTATGTATAGTTTGAGTCATTTGCTTCTGTTTGTATTCAGTTCCAGGGCTTGGCTTTTATATTCTTTGCAATTTAAAAAATATGTGAACTCTTAACATGATTGAAAAGTAAAAATTATATAAAAAGATAAACTCAAAAAATCTCATTGCTTCTTATACTCTCACTTTATTCCCATCAGCTTCTATGGATAATCATTTTCATTACCTCTATTCTTAAACAAAAAGTAGACAAATATGCATATGTGTATTCTCATTTTTCTGTTTTTCTTTTGGAAAAGGTGGCACACTCTACAATCTCATCAACACTTCAATGTATAATGTGCCACATGCTAGTCACCTATCCCCTCCCTCCCTGCCACAATCCCACAATCCCACCTTCCAGAGATGCCGCCGTTCTCAGCTGGCCATCTATCCATCTACCCTCCCCTTGAAGAGCTCTAAGTAGGTGATGGCACCAGGTTGGAAGCCACATGTGATCTCCCCTCTCTGCTGCCCCACGATGCTCAGAGTGTTTTCAATATGGTCCAAATTAGAGCTTCAGGCTCCTTGTGCCTTCAGCAGTTCCTCATTCAGAAGCCTGGGTTGACTCTTAACTTTGATGCAGCCTTGCAAATTCAAAGCTCTCTTATCAGGAGGGATGGAGAGAAAGGTTTGTTTCCACCATCCTCTCAATTAGGCGATTCTTATATACTGCACCTTCTAGCCTAATTGTCTTCCAAGAGAACGATACACACAATGTTTTCCTTTTAACAAGGCCTGGCTTCCAAAGGTGCTGCAAGTTTATGTTTAGTTATAAATTTAACAGTTGGCTGAAATTACTACTAGGAATACCTTGAAGTTGAATGATGGTTCAGCCTCTGATAGTGTTTGGCTAGGCATATCCTGCTGGAAAACCCATTTAGAGCTATAGAAAAGTGGATGGACTAAGTTTTTAAATTTATAATCCCATTGCTTCTAAAAGCAGTCTTCTGCTAATGCCTCTTTACCCCAGCTGTATGAGATATCTCAAATTTTACTTGTTTTCTTCAAGTATGGAATTTATCAATTGGGTAATAAACCAAGAAGATCCTTCTGGCTCTGACCATCATTTCAGTAGAGGTACCACAGCTGTGATAAGAGCAGCCTGCTCAGGGGTGGTTTGTTAATGCCCTGGGGAGATGGGCAGGGTCGGGATGGCAGCTCTAGGAAGGGCTTGCTTTGTTAGGTTGGAAAATGTCACATGGAGTCATGGCCCTTTCCCTGAGGGGCTCTTGGAGAAGAAATCATAAATGCAAGGCTTTGGAGTAGAATCCCTGGAAAACCATTTATTGCTACAGCTTCACGGCTTGGCTCTGGAATCTTGTCTCCAGCACGGCTCTGGTTCCAACTCACTCTGCCCTCCCAAGCAACTGGGTCTTGTCCCGACCGGGGTGTTGGACACTCAGATAACTTTTAGAGACAAAGACAGCATGGTATTCACCCAAGTCCCTCTTGGTGTCCTATGTAGAGTCCAAATCCTTCAGCAATGCATTTGGAGGTCTGCCAGAATCGCCATATGTCTGTCTTAAAAATACTCATCTTATTCATCAGGAACCAGTTTCACATGGCCCCAGGCTGAAGGGGTCTTATCATAACATTATACTTTGCCAGGAGCAGAGCCAGAGAGACTTTTGCCCACAGCATGAAGGTTCAGGCTGAAAATCTCCTGGGGCGTCACTTTTAGCATCTTCTTCCTCCACAAAGGCAACATTTCTCAGAGATTGTCAGGAGTGAAGTATGGGCAAGTAACTTATCCCAAGTCTCCTTGTGCAGTGGCTGGAGAAGAGGGAGGGATAGTGACAAGAATCCTCATCTCCATTCTGGAAGAGGGGTGGGGCAAGTGTTCTATAGCTCAACTGTACACCCACTGTTTCCTCAGCTCTCTGACTTCTTCAGTGCCCTGGAACATGGGCGTGGGATTCAAGGACAAAGGGTAGTGGGAGTAAGAGAGAGAGAACTGATATGTGTCGAATGCTTCCTATGTGCTGGATAATATCCACGCTTTGTGGAACCCTCCCAGTCACCCTGTAAGTTAATCGTCTCTGTGATCTACTGGAGAGCGAGACTGAGTCTCCATCACACTGTTGACTTCCCCAAAGTGACACAGAGAGTGAGAGGTGGAGCCAGTATCTGAACCTAGGCTTGCCAGTCCTTCCTGTAAGTCACAATGATGCCTCTCACTAGTGTCCCCAATAAAGGATCCCTATAGGAGTGAAAAATGGGTTGGGAGGAAATAGAACCCTGCCCAATGCTCAGCACAGAGTCAATAAAAGCTACCCTCACTCCTTTCCTCTCCATTCTCTCTTTCCATGATCACAGGATTAGAGGTGGAGAGTGGGCAGCAGTGGGTGGCACTTCTCTGGAAAGAAGCAAAGCAATACCAAATCAAGGCCATCTGGAGGAAAACACTCTTTTGAGAATCTGGGGAGCATGTCAAAAGGCACAATGATTGTTTTCTCTCTCTCCTTTCTCTTTTCAGTGGTAAGACTTCAGGACAAGATGCATTCAGATTCAAAGATACTGTTTACTGTGGAGAGCTAAAAGTAACAGCTCTCAAAGTTTTTGGTGTGAGTCCTTTCACCCCATAAAAATTATTAAATGTGAAGTTTAAGGTGGTTTTTTCCAGTTCTGTGAAGAAGGTCATTGGTAGCTTGATGGGGATAGCATTGAATCTATAAATTACTTTGGGCAGGATGGCCATTTTCACGATATTGATTCTTCCTAACCGTGAACATGGAATGTTTCTCCATCTGTTTGTGTCCTCTCTTATTTCATTGAGCAGTGGTTTGTAGCTCTCCTTGAAGAGGTCCTTTACATTCCTTGTTAGTTGTATTCCTAGGTATTTTATTCTCGGGAGTGTAAGTTAGTTCAACCATTGTGGAAGACAGTGTGGCAATTCCTCAAGGACCTAGAAATAGAAATTCCACTTGACCCAGCAATCCCATTACTGGGTACATATCCAAAGGATTATAAATCGTTCTACTATAAGGACACATGCACACGAATGTTCATTGCAGCACTGTTTACAATAGCAAAGATCTGGAACCAACCCAAATGCCCATTGATGATAGACTAGACAGGGAAAATGTGGCACATATACACTATGGAATATTATGCAGCCATCAAAAATGATGAGTTCGTGTCTTTTGTAGGGACATGGATGAACCTGGAGACCATCATTCTCAGCAAACTGACACAAGAACAGAAAATGAAATACCGCATGTTCTCACTCATAGGTGGGTGTTGAACAATGAGAACACATGGACACAGGGAGGGGAGCACTACACACTGGGGTCTATTGTGGGGAATAGGGGAGGGACAGCGGAGGGTGTGGAGTTGGGAAGAGATAGCATGGGGAGAAATGCCAGATATAGGTGAAGGGGAAGAAGGCAGCAAATCACACTGCCATGTGTGTACCTATGCAACAATCTTGCATGTTCTTCACATGTACCCCAAAACCTAAAATGCAATACAAAAATTATTAAAGAATCTTAAGTGGTTTTCCTTTTTCTCTTTTTTTCTTTTGAGATGAAATCTTGCTCTGTTGCCCAGGCCGGTGTACATTGGCGTGATCTCAGCTCACTGCAACCTCTGCCTCTGGGTTTCAAGCAATTCTCCTGCCTCAGCCTCCAAAGTAGCTGTGATTACAGGTGTGTGCCACCACTCCCAGCTAATGTTTTTTTGTTTGTTTGTTTTTGTATTTTTAGTAAAGATGGGGTTTCATCATATTGGCCAGACTTGTCTCAAACTCTTGACCTTGTGATCCACTCACCTTGCCTCCCAAAGTGCTGGAATTACAGGTGTGAGCCACTGCACACATCTTAAGTGGTTTTAAAATGTGTGTGTATATAATATATATTGGTATTTACTAAGACAGATATTAAAAAACAGAAAAATTACAAATACTAGTTTCCCTAATAGTAACAATGATATACTGTTGTATGTTAAATGGCATATCTTAATTAAAAAGAACTATATTTTTTCTGAACAAGGAAGGTATTTATTGGGTAGAGAGGCATTTTTTTTTTATTCTTGGAAATCTCTTTTATGTTTCTTAACAGAAAACAATAGCATTCTTATATTTGCTCTTACATTCAGTCTGTTGCAATATACTATTTTGGTTAAAGTATATTTGGCAGAAACTTTATACAGATATGTAGTTGGAAAAGGGAGTATTTTAATAGCCTTTTCAGATCACATTACTATTCTTTGAGACTTCAAAGTTCAACAAGTGGTGATTTCTTAAAGGTTAGTGCAATGTGAAGTATGAAACCAAGTCAGTGAACTTTATGTGCTCTGTGAAATTGAAATATATTGGTCTATCTCACACTTTTAATATATCTTTTTTCATGCATGATTTTATATTTTTCCTGCATTGGTGATTTGGAAGATATTAGCTCAACGAATCATGCAAATCTTCCAAATGTTAATTGGTTTTATTTTTAAAAGTCACATTCATTAATTGCTAACCTCCTCAGAAAAGTCACTAAGTATTGGAAAGCTATCAAGCTCATAATAGTGGATACACGTTTTCCAATATTCTTATTTTCTGTGAAAGCTCAAATTTTATCATTGGCAACAAATACTGATTGTTTCTCTTTAAGTGACAGATTTGCTTTCTTCATTTTCAAGAAAATGTCTGCCAAATGCACGAATCTAAGTAACCATAGTATTACGACTATTTTTCCAAGTAAAAATGTTGCTGCATTAAAAAATAGGGTAGTTTAGCTTGTAGCTTAATCACATAAGTGCTTTTTCCTGAGACAATTATTGGACTTAGGTGTGTTGCAGAAAAGGTTTATTCATTCTTCCCTTTTAGTCACACCCAATATTAAAATGACATGCACTCAAAGGTTAAAATATAATAATATTACTACTTTTTCCTGCTTTATCAAGGACATTCTCAAGATACATTGGCATTTTTCCTCTGTGCTAGTATGTGGTATTGAAGCATATGACCACTGGTAGAGTTTGAGGTATATCCTTGATTTATGCTAAATGAACAGCAATTTTATCTACCATTCCCGCTCCACCATCAGTGCAAATGTCAACATAGTTGGTCCAGAATGAAACACGAGATTTTTAGAAGTTACTAAGCACTTGGAATATGTCAGTACCACTGTGTTCGTTGCCAAGCACTTACATGAAACATATTCTTTGATCATTAGCTGTTGCTGATACCAGACAAATTCAAGCAAAACAGCAAGTCTCGGCATATCTGTCGGCTCATTTAATTGTAAACGAAAGTGCAGTTGTGCAGAGGAGGACTCAGTTTTGCTGTTTACAGACACGTTTTTAATTTATTAAGTTACTGTGTTTTTGGAAAGTGGCAGTGTCATGATTTTGTTAACAGACTTTTCATCTAGTAGGCAGTTGGCGGATGTCAAATGCGGACACTTCATTAACGTCTCAGTTATTATATTCACTTCTCAGCCAGTGCTTTAGGTGCTGAATGTCAATATCATACTGCACCTTAACTGACACCAAAATACTATTCAACAATGTTCTGTTATATGAGACACGCCTGGTAAATTATCTATAAAACCAAGGAAAAGATAACTTTTGCTTATTTGCTTATTTTTATTTCTTATTTATAGTTTTGCCCAGATTGGGGCAGTTTCTTCCCTTCCATGAGTCAGAGAACTCTCTGATATGTCAATATTATCGTTATTAGCATTTTAGAGATAGGTAATGCAGCTGTGAGTTGAAAAACTCAGTCTCTAGTTTCTCCCTGTAAGCCAGCAGTCTATCCTAAAAATGCAAGAAAAACATGTTTTAAATGTATTTTTATTTATTTTAGAAAAATATTCAATTAAGTTCTAAAATAATGCTTTAGACAAAACAGAAAAGTTTTAAAAATTGAAAAATAATTTTGCAAAAGAAGACAAAAAACATAGTCACACTCTTCTTGTGCATCTGCATAGGTATGAGGAAAACTTGGAATTTTAAAAATAACTTATTGGACGGTAAGGAAGTAACACAGATTATAGATGGTATAAATGGAAATAGCTGGCAAAATCTCAGTAGAAATTCTGAGAAGAAACTGAGCTAACCTCTGGAAGTGCATGTGTTTATGTCCTAAACCTACAATCTTAAAAAGTTCTAGAAAACCCAAGAATACAGGAACACATATTTCATTAACCATCAGAACAATGGAATCCTTACACATCATGTAAATCAGGAAAATACCTTACACATCCATGAGAGGAAAAGAGTGAAGAGGGTCAGTGACATTTGTATTAGTCCGTTCTCTGGCTGCTGTAATGAAATACCTGGGACTGGGTAATTTATAAAGAAAAGAGGTTTAATCGGCTCGTGGTTCTGCAGACTGTACAGGAAACATGGCAGCTTCTGGGAAGGCCTCATAAAATTCATAATCAGGGCAAAAGGTGAAGGAGAAGTATGCAGGTCTTACACAGCTGGATCAGGAGGAGAGGAGATGGGGGGATGCACTAAACCATTCATGAGAAATCCACCCCCCATAATCCAGCCACTTCCCATCAGGCCCCACATCCAGCAATGGGAATTATAACTCGACATGAGATTTAAGTGGGGTTACAGATCCAAAGCATATCAACGTCTTAGTAATACGACAAAAATAATCTTGGCGTCATGGACACTCTAAAAGAACTGCTGATTCTTTGAGAGCTGCTGGCTACAGAGGGACTGAACAAGGTTCAAGGAAAAGAAAGGAAAAGATTAATCATTTAGGACCTATTTTTTATTTTTAACGGAAAGGGTTAAAAGGGACATGAAAGTTCCACATGATCAGGCGTAGCTTATCTGAGTAGGCAGAGATGAACTTGGGAACAGTGGCCCTACTCAGGAACAAAGGTTACAGATGGCTTGGACATATTTCGTGTGTGTGTGTCTGTGTGTGTGTGTGTGTGTGTGTCTGTGTGTGATTCTAAGTTGACTCTACATAGCAGAGGATTGCTGGCCTGGGTACTAGTTTCATGGAGAGCTGGGAACACCTAATAGTCATTAATCAATATGAGGCCTTTTAAAAGTGAGATAGGAAAAGGAACAGAAAAACATGTATATTACGAGATTGCTTTTTTCCCCCTTGAACATAACATTTCTATTCTTATCATTTTCAAGTCATATGAAAAACATATTTCTTTGCCACTGTTCTTCCATTACGGTTCCTTGTTTTCATCCCCTGCCCCATTTCTTTGCCTAGAAATTTCCTGCCAAACAGTGAAAAATCTGAGCTGTCCCAGAGTTTGATAAGGGGCAGTGTTGGGTCTTCAGCAGCAGTGATAATGTCTGGCAAGAAATGGGATTGTCTGGAAATAGCCCGTGCCCTTCTGACTCATTCTCTTCCCATCACATTGTAACTGGCCTGTTGACAGTTTCTGTACACTTCATCTTTTCCCTCTTCATTCCATTAGAAGATTTAGATGAAATTAAAAACAAAACTCCGTATATAAACAAACATAAAACCGTTCATTAGAACTTACTGCAGTGATGGCTGTGTCCCCTATCTGTGCTGTCCAATATGGCAGCCACAAGTGACGTGTGGCTGTGGATCCAGGAAATGCGGCTACTGCAACTGCCGAACATTTGAACTTCAATCGCCACACGTGGCTCGTGTCTACTGTATTTCATTGCACGTCTCTAGAAATCACTGGCCCTGACCAGTCTGTCTAGTTTCATCTTTTGTCTCTGTACTCCTAGACCCCTTAGGTTTCAATAACCTATCTTTCCTTCACAGAGTTTATTTGTGTTGTTTCCTCTGCTTCATGAAATCTTATTTGTCCCTTAAATTGCCATTTCAGTGCCATCTATTTTGCTAAATTTCCCCAGCCTTTGGACCCAAATTAAGTATTCTTTACTCTGTGCTCACATAGCGCTGTGTTCATGCTACTAAGAGAGTGCCTGGGAAGTTGTCTTTTTTGTAGTCATAATATGTTTGTCTCTCATGCATGTTCAATACAGATGCTGCTGGCCACCTGTGACTACCTAAATTTAAGTGAATTAAAATGGGATAAAATTGAAAGTTCATGTAATTAGTTGCACTTGCCATTTCAGGGATTCAATAGCCACATATGGCTAGTGGCTACCAGATGGGATAGTACAGATACAGAACATTTCTATCATTGCAGGGAGTTCAGTTTGACAGCACTGACTGAATTATCTGATAGCAAAGACTGTTCATCTTTGTGTCACTGGGATGTTCATGGTGTCTGAAAGGGAGACAACACTCTATCAGGCCATGCCAAGAAGACAGGGCTCATGGGGCACATTTAATGCTGGCATGTGAGAGATAGAACCAAAAGCCATTT